TTACTTGATCAACTGATGCCAAGTATTGTTTGGTGCAAAGATCCATCAATCTTTGTTACGCTACATGGGCTTTAGACTAAAACTGAGCATGTATGTCACATATGCTGTATCCAGTCAAATTATCAAGCAATGCTGCTTTGCAATACCCAAGGCTACGCGAAAGGTATAAATTATTATTTGAAGTAAAGAAAAAAGGACCAAGAAACTACAAGTTACGCTATAATGTCCACTAACACCACCAGTTACACCACTTACAGTTCCCCTCGTGCTATTTCTATAACTTAGAACCTTCCAAGTTGAAAGGCTGTTGGAGTGCGCATCCAAGATGTGCAAGAGCTGTTGGCCAGTTAGTTGTAGAACGTCAGTACTGTCGATCAGTGTCGTACAATGTTATCGCATGCCTGAGCTGATTGTTTCGTAAATGGCGGTGTGAGTGGACATTATAACGTAACTTGTAGTTACTTGGTCCTTTTTTCGTTACTATAAATTTATCCTTGGCTCTCCACCCGAGTCCATTATTATTTGAGTGCACATTTTGCCTGAGTTCAAATGTAGTCTAAAAATATACTTCCTCCGCACCACCGAAATGTGCACTTATTTTTTAAGAGCCTTTGAGCAATCATTCCTTGACATTGGCAAAAGAGTACGTCAATAATCGGATCCAAGTATCTAGAAAGGGAAAAGACATCTTTCTTAGCCGACGTTTGATGATGACTCAAGCTAATACGGACTCAAATCCTCTCCAATATACTGTAATCAGCATTGAGTGACACAGACACACACACAAAAATGAGTCATACAATGTGTGAAAGTTTCAATTTCCGTGCTTCTGGGCTTTGCACGCAAAACCATTTTGCGCAGCTATTGCACGCATGCCCGACATGTGGGCTCGTGCATGGAAAACCTGTACGCATTGCTGGGATCGCGAGGTCCTGTACACACTAGCTGCTATCCGCGAAAGCCGGCGCTGTACTAATTATTCACTTGTCCTGTCTTTATAAATAACATGTTATTGCTTAAAAAAAAACTAGCCTGCACCACGCAGTTTCAAATTGGAGTGCTTTTTGTTTCAAGATCCTGCGCTGTGAGTTCTCCATCTCCTGCCAAAGTCTGAACAAGTGAAATACCAGTAGCTCACATTATGTCATTGTTCCGTCTAGATCTGTAGAGCTGAAAGGCTACAAATGAACCTTGACTACTGGTCAGAGTGCAGAGCTTGATTACCATGCAACTCTGAGTTGAGATCTATTTTTGTTGCAATGGATTTCTGCTGAAATACTATGGAGAGGCTGGCTCGGGAAAAGTACTCTGCTGGTCCTTATGCTGTGACCTGCTGTTGTTTAGAATTTGATGTTGTGCCCGTAGCCAATTTGTGATTCCTCTTACACCATACGAGAGTAGAAAAGCCTTCAGATTACTCTTGCTAGGCAGATCGTGTCTCTCAAGTACATACTGATCCTGTCAGAAATAGGAATGTGTCCAGTTTAAGGTAACATGACAAACTTATCGCCGAAGTCGCACCAACCTCTTCATGACAAACTTATACTATGGAAAAGATCAGCGAACATTGCGGTTGGGTGGCGAAAGTATAAAGTTGGCATTCAGACAAAGACAAAAAAGCGGCGACAAGTTCGTAAAAGTGTGTACACTGGTGGGTCAGAAGACGGTGCAGCAGCATGTACAAAGGGGTGACACAAACACAGCAAAAACGCAGCAGCAGGTGCAACAGGATGACACAAACGCAGCAGCATGTAAAACATACCTATTTGTATACAGCATATTATTTCCTAGTGTGCAGGTCAAATGCAGTCTTTGTTATGGTAATACAGTGTATGTACAGTCTGTGTGGATATGGGTATTCGTATAGCTCATGACATTCCATGCTCTGATCAATTGACACCAGGTGTTCAACACCAGCAACCATATAGCCCAACTCAACCTCTTGTGCTCTGCTGTGCCTTGCTATGCTTGTGTCACACCACGTGCACACACACACAATGACAATGCATACACACACCACGTGCAAAAACACACACGGTGACACTGCATGCACACACACCACGTGCACACACACCACATGCACCTTTTTGCCCTTTTGAGTTTTGACTCCCATCACCGAGGCGATGATAGCGATGCTACAGCAGAAGCCATAGCAACTTGTGCTGGGATTGCACCATTGAACAGCTTACAAGGCTGAAGAATTGACCGCCACAATTCTGAGCCTTGTCTACACCATACAGCTATTTGAAGAGGCCATTTCTGGCCAGTGAATCCCTACTTTTTCGTTTTCGTTTTTTCCAGCAAACATCACACCACATATTCCACCATGTTCTGGCTGTTGGGAACCACCCAGGATTTTTCATACCACTTGTGCATACACACACCAGACACACACTACACACCACACACACGCACCCCCCCCCCCCCCCCCACACACACACACACACACACACACACACACACACACACACACACACACACACACACACACACACACACACACACACACACACACACACACACACACACACACACACACACACACACACACACACACACACACACACACACACACACACACACACACACACACACACACACACACACACACACACACACACACACACACACACACACACACAGCTATATTAGACATAGCAACTTGTGCTGGAATTACACCATTCAACAGCTTGCAAGGCTGATGAACTGACCGCCACTAATTTTAGCCTGGTATCCAACACACAGCTGATTGAAGTGGCTTATTCTGGCCAGTGAATCTCTATTTTTCTTTTTTTTTCCATTTTTCCATTTTTTCTTTTTTTGGACACACAGCCTTTGATCCTAGAGGGTGGTGGCGTTACCACGGCGGATGCGGAAAACTCGAGCCGAGTCTCACGCGAACCTTGAAATTATTATTTTATTTATATTTATTTTTGGACACATACGCCACACCACATACTCCGGCGGCATACACTGGCTGTTGGACCACCCAGGATTATGAAAGAATAGCTACTAGGAGAATGAGAAAGAGAAGAAAGACGTGTGCAACCATAATCGTCGGGAATTAAACCCGCAACCTCTCGATTGGAAATTGACTGCACATGCCATTGCACCATATGGGACACACATGGACACACACAAACACACACACACCTTCCTTTGCATCCGATAAATGAGTCGTCTATATTTTGTATTTCGTTCTCCTGATGATGGGCCAGGCCCGAACATTTGGTGTACAGTAATGTAAATTGAAATTTGAATTTGAATCGCAGTGAAGAGGCCGTTTTTGGAGTTTGGAGTTGGGAAGTGAAGTTTCCTAAAAGTTCGTTCTCCATTATTTTGGTTTTCAAATCATGAAATTTCTGCAGTGCCATGAATGTGACGATGTTGCGCTTTCAGAACGGAACGGTGATTGTCCTGACGAAGCGTCGTTCGACGACTTGACCGGTCGCAGTATTGCAGTTGCAATTCGAACAGGGGAGATGTCACAAAAGCTACACCTACAAAGTCGCTACCAACTTGTTGAGAACTCTGAAGTGCTCGAGAAAATCCCTTGCCTTTGGGTGTTGCGTGATTTGGAAATGATGGCTTGAAACACCGTCAGAAGTATATTTGGTTCCTGCAATACTTTGCTCTTTGCTACCTTCTTATTCGGAAGAAAAACCCATTTGGATTTGCAAAATACAACAAACAACATCATAAAATCACTACGAGCTAGCTCGCAGCTAGTGCCCAATGAGACTTTGAAACCAGGCAAGTGGACATTGTTTACCGTAGCAAAGCGCACTTCGCGCCATGGTGTGAGATGCACTTTCCTACAGCGAGAGTGACAGTGTTAGGGGTCAGTGCGTACAGGCCAGCAGATCTTGCACAATGCGGTGGGCATTTGCAGCGGACTTTACGGTACACAAACACACACACACACACACACACACACACATACACACGAAAAAAAACACAGACACTATTGGACCAGACATAGTGGTTACAACAATGTGTCCTGTTTTTCTTGTGTATTATTCGGTGTCTGTAGATTTCTTCACAAGGGTTGTCAAGAGCAACATACCACAGATCATCGCCAAACTAGCGACCGTACCAGATATAGTGCTAACTCAAGTATTTGGAGGTGCCAACCTGGATGAAGGGTGTATCAGTACTTATCGAACGGCATGTGAGGTGGCCGGTCATGTACGTGATCTTCCACTTTGCTGTCAATCAGCAATTGGGGAGTCTTTACTGTTCCCAGCGTACAGCTTTGTGCATCTCTTTTATGACTTGCACCTTCCCGATATCACTCAACGACTGGATAAAGATTTCCTGATCAAGATTGACCGTGAGGCAGGCTGTGGTGGGAGTAGTCTTTTCCAACTGTTGACTTTGGCTATTGATTCACAGAGAGATAGTAAGTGACAATTTGAAGACTGCGATGCAAGTAAAAGAATGGCCATGATGGTGAATCCTAGTCAATGGATGATGCTGGTCTTTGTCTTAGTGTGCATACCAGCTGAAGGTTATATGAAAATACAGTTGTCTTATACTAGCAGAAATGTTCTAAATGATATTTGCTGTTTTCCAATTTGTTTAGTATACGTTATGTTCTAGCCTTGGTTTCCATTGTGAGGAAAATGAGGAATTTTATTGAAATCGTCAATACCTAATCATAATGGCACTTTCTCCCGGTGACTTGACTTGACACTTGACTGACTCACAACCGCCATCCAGATCACACAAGAAGTCCATTGAACTTTCGAAGTCGGCGGGAAAGCGCTAGCTTCAGTGTTGGGAGCAACTCATGTTCTGATGAAATGATCGCCGAAGTCGCAAACTCTATTTCATAGGATAGTAAAGTAGCCTAAACCTGCCTGTCATGTTTGTGGAAATCACCAGCATAATATTGTTTAGTAATGTCATAATGTCACTAAACTTAATGTACCGGCAATCCAAGCAATACTCGTAGAGAAATTTCTGTGTGATTCTTCCGATCTCATTTTCATATACAGGAGGTACCGCGATATCAATGATGAATGATGAAGGTGTGATTGCATTGAGAGAAGGACCAGGAGATACAGTTCAAG